AACGTCAATAAAATGCCAAATAATCATACGTAACTCGTTAAATATCGAAGTTAGAAGGAAAACAACTTTTATTTGAAGCATTTTTCGCAATTTTGGAAAAAAAAATTTTCGTCAGCGTCAATACTTAATTGGATATTTCCTTCTATACTTTTTAGCACGTAGCTATTTATTATTAGCATTATTCTTCCGACATCTGATTTCTTTTTAATTATAGGAAATGCGTTTTTCTAAGGTACATAAACTTTTGGGATTGACTGTATAGCCAATACATCCTTAAAATGCAACATCAAACAGATTAAAACAAACAATTTTCCTATTCTATCAATTATAAATATAAGAGACATATAAGCACAAACAATATATAACAAATAATAACAAACAATTAACCAGCTATAGCAGAGATTGTGTATCGTCCACTGCGTTGCTCGAACGTTTTGTAATTTCATTGTAACCTCGATATAGGACGCGTTGTATGGCGTGCCCGTATCACTCGACTTCTCAACCCCTTTCGTGTATAACGGGCCATTGCTTTTGGTCCATTGCGTCGAATGGCCGGGGAATTATCATAGCTACACCTATTGAAAGCCGCGAAAGGGACGCGTAACAGATTGTAAGTGCTTACGCGGCGTTTAAATTATGTGCACATCCCTGGATCATTATTGCCTACACGGTCGAGTTTTATTGGGACAGAAAGTGGCCGACCCGACCGCGTGCCATGGAGGCGGGTCGTTTCTTTTTAATGACGGTATATAAAGCCGCTGTTCCCGATCGTTCAGATTAAAATTGAATCGGCTCTCCCGACGCGAGAATACGTCGCACGCACAGGACACGAGCTATAATTCACTGGACGCTGAACGCAATGTCCTATGAAAAGACTTTAACCGACGTCTAACTATCGATAAGCGGCACTTCCCGTGGAAAATCATCGAGATTTTATTTCCCCGCCATAACCGTTTTATCAGGCAGCCGTCCCGCGATTTCTCCCGCCTTTGATCGTAGCTCCATGAGCGGAATGCATAAAATGTATGATATGGAAACAAGAGACTCCGCCAAACGCATAAAGACAAAATATGATTACATATTTATGGAATTTTAAATCGTATAGGGAGAGATTGTTCTTTCACCTTTTAAATATAATTCTCTCAAATCATTTAAATTCAGATAAAATTAAGTGAACTAACGAGGAAGAGGTTTATGAAATTCAAACTTAATTTACATGACACAAGTCATTAAAACAACGATGAGACAATTTGTTGAGGGAGGCGTACTCACAAATTATCTGCCGTTATTCCCAAGATTAAAAACAGATACAGCAGCCATATTAGCATCAGACATAGTCCAAAAGTGAAGAACAGCTTGTCTTCTGATTTAAACGTGCAGAAGAGAATCTCTGTATATTGAAATACAGAATCCGTGATACAGTCCGCAGTTTCTCTCACCCATTTGCAACGTTCTTCAACTGGAATGTGCCAAACGTACGAACAATCGTCCTATAAAAATCGACAACGAGCAATTACGTACATAATAATATTATTAGTAATGAATAATGAATGACATGTAGAATGTAATGAAAGTATTATAATATTATGGAAAATTTTTA